ACGACTACGATCATGATCACGACCACGACGACTTCGATGATGAACAAAATGATGAGGTTGTAGATGATGCTGTGTTACACTCCACTACTTACCGAATGTGCAAAATAAGATTGAATCTTCCGCTAAAATATGAGAAGATACATCGCCACTTACGTATTACTCTAGCGCGCTGCTTTCAGGTAAGTACCCCCTCCCCCTTTTTCCCTTTTCGCGATCTCTCTCTCTCCCTCCCCCTCTCTAGCCTGCAACGTTCGAATGCATCTAGCCGTTGACACGACTAGGTTCAAGCGAAGTCGATGAGGGAGAGGAAACAGATCACAGGAATGAAGACCTTGAGCGTGTCGGAGTTCGATTGCGATGAACGAGCCGCGTTGTGATCCGGACCACAGTATCAACAACGTCTGAGCGAAGAAGACGTCGGCCGCGCCGAAGAAGAAGGGAAGCATAGTACGCCTTTGATCAGATCCTATGAAAGGGAATAATGATGATGATTCGGCAAGTAGCGCTGCCATTGAAATCAACACGGTCGCCAAGATGAAGCCGAGCACCATGAGTTGCGCTACCTTTAGGAAGCACGCTGCCAGTATGAGCGATTATGGCCACGATTGCTTGCTGCAGCAACCTCGCTGCTCAGCTCCCCAAGTGCGCTAAATGAGTACGAATCTTCTGCTAGAATACGGGAAGATATGAAGTGAGAGGGTGGCTGAATCTTCCACTAGAATACGGGAGATTAAATGACCATATCATGCCTAGGTAGGCATGCCTCTCCTACTCTCGTTCTTCTCTTCCCCTCCCTTCTTCCTCTTCGTCAACTCCCTGCTGTTTGGTAGCACTAATGCACTTGACAGCATGCTTGAACGAAATCAACCTGCTTCGGGCCGACCAACTATTTTAAATAGTGAGAAAAAGGAGAAACGTCAGTTCCAAACTTCGACTGGTCTGTGCCTATTTGTGTAGGGCCTTGCGAATCTTCTTTGTATCGTTCCAATTTTAACAGATGTTTGGAAGGACGAAGACCACGGCCCGGGAATATTATCGCTGATCTGACCGGGCCCAGGTAGTTCAGCTATCCGGGACATCTAATTGTATCCACACTCGAACCCGAGTCTGTATTTCGACAGCTCAAAGGTGTACCAACCGAGCTAGTTCAGTTGGTCCCTTCACTCTCGGCACCGGTACTAGTACCGGGCCCAATCCCCAAAACAGGATTTTACTAAAAAGAAGGAAAAAAAGTTTTAAATAATTTGTCAAGGGGAAGAGGGGAATTTGTGGGCACTCTCTTGGTCCCGAAAGCTGGGCCTGTGCTGCTTGGGAGCAGCGACAGAGGGGATAGCCACGAGGGACCCTCAACCCCTTGGTCTTCTCGAAGTCGCGCTCCACCGCTCCATCGCTGTTTGCAGGCTTCGATCCTCGAATCTGCCATGTGAAAGTCCAATGGCGTAACCAATAGGGCTAAGCCCAAGTCTGAGCCTAGCAGGCACAGATACCCATATAAAGAGTATCTGCCCTGTTCCCGGGCTTGTCGAACTATACTCGAGGTTGCACTTTGGCCTACCGGCAACTTCCACGCTCACCACATCCCCGTACCTGCCGCCTGGAGGGGCTAACTTTTACCCGCGGATCCTGCACATCTGACCAAGTTGCGCCGCACCAAGGATTCCGGCTCCCCCAGTCGGCTACTCCCTCAAAAGGCCGCACTCTTAGTATCTCGATGTCGGCAAACCCCAACTTTTACTTACATCATACCTCGTATATGCCAACGTTGCTAAGGTCATTGGCGGTTTCTACCGCCGACCAAAGCACGGCCAGCCTAAGCATTCGACGTACTTCACACTATGCGGACCCAAGCGCCACCTTAGGTAAGTCATTGGAACTCACCTCGGATCACGCTTTTGATAGTTAAACCTCGACGTGGACTGTAACACCGCCATTGTCTACGCCCGCGCGGTCAGTGCGCAGTGCGCGCGCGATGCTAATCAAAATTTTAATCCTTCTCTAGCTCGTGCTATTGTGCGAGGTTGTTAATTACGACATCAATTCGCTAAATCACCAGACGTCTGTCTAAAACCGCGCGTGCTCCCAAAGTGCACACTCACACACTCTCCGATCTAACCATATGCGCGCTCGCCATTCTCACTTTTGAGAGTCGGTTGTGGGCCGAGTAAAGATGTGTTACTCTCTCAAGCATCATCAAAGATGCCCCTCGCGCGAGACGCAAAAATGCGCACAGATACCCTTGTAAGGGTATTAGCGGTGCTACTTCTTGTGTGACATAGTGACTAAGGCAAGACCGCGCTCGAAGACGAAGGGAGCACCAACGTCAACCATAGCTAGGGTAGTGATAGGGAAGCAGGGCGTCCACAGCCGCCAAGGTTGGAGACTGATCTGAGGGGGTGTATCCAGGGCACGATCCAAAGGAAGGAGCGAGAGAGAGAGAGAGAGAGAGAGAGAGAGAGAGAGAGAGAGAGAGAGAGAGAGAGAGAGAGAGAGAGAGAGAGAGAGAGAGAGAGAGAGA